TGTTTGATATTTTATTATTTATAATTTTTATGTCAATAATTTTTTGTGGTTACTTGTTTTGGAATTATTGAACTAAGTTTGTTTAGTTCAAAAATTGTGGTCTCTACTCTTTCTCTTATAACCCCATGCTCAATCCAGCAATAAAACCTGCCATCTCTTTTTTAAAAATATTTCTTAACACTTCCACCCCTACTACTGTAATTCAAGCGACCATTATTTCTTACCAAGACTGCTTTAATAACTTCCAAATTGGACTCTCTTCTTCCATGCTTACTGACCTATAATGCATTCTTTTTCCACAGAGTAACCAGTGTTATGCATTAATATAAATCAGTTTATCACTGTCACTCCCATCTTCTAATGACTTCAAATTTTATTTCAGAATAAAATCCAAAGTATTTACTGTGACCTACAAGGCCAGAAATTATCTGACTCCTATCTTATCTCTTACCACCACTACCACCAATGATAGGCACACCACTGCCAGACTTGATCCCCTTACTATTCCTAGAACATAGCAATACCTACTATTGTATTGTTCCCCCCAACCAAAATGCTTATCTACCAGAAATCCAAATGATTCCATTCTCATTTCATTCAGGGCATTTATTTTTCTTCCTAGTGCTTACCATTCCCTGGCATTATAAATCAGACTTTTTGTTTGTATGTTTATCAACTATCATCCTCATTTACCAACTGGAATATTTGCTCTGTAAGGTCAGGAGACCTGTGTATTTAGTTCACACCTATAAATTGCATGGTATGTAGTAGATGCTTTATAGATATGTGTAGAATCAGCGAGGGATGTAATGTATATATTGTATTATTCTGGTACTTTTCACATAGTTCTTTATAGAACTTACATTCTCTGTCTTTCATGTAGATTATAAACTCTAAGAATCTACCAGACTATTGCCTAGTAAATACAAAGACAATATCTGCGATGGAGCAAATTAATGAGTACCTTCATTCTAATTTGTAAGAGAGTGAAAAAATTCTTATGAGCAAGGAAAGCAAAGAGTGCCAGGTCCATTATGACACACAGGACAACAAGGGGGCCACTGCAAGAACACACCTTGGAGACCTTCTGATTCTTTTTGCCTCTTTTCAGCATAAAGATTTTCATCTGCAAGGGAAAGTTTTCTGGAAACAGTAGCTTAGGAAAATACACAATGTGTAGCTGTTATAATTGCCATGTTTACACTGGACTCTGGGCTAGCTGTTCTGAAACAATCCTGGTTAAAATAAACTTTCAATGTGTTTTATGCAACCAGTGTTTCCAATAAGCACTGTTGACATGACCATTAGCGGTCTCCAGAACTTCTCCTTTACTAAGTGTTTAACTGGCTGTTCAACCCCTATGGCTTCCCATCTGCCTTTAATTTTCCCTTAGCAATTTTAATGCTAAAGCAACAACAAAAATACACAAGCCATCCTCTGGGAGGATATCTGACCATAATTTGAAAAGCCCTCAAAATAAGAAAATTGAGGTAGGTGTGTGAAAGGCCAGCAGAACATATTACGTATTCCCCATACGATACACAACTGTAAGTATCCCCACTTTCTAATGCTCCAGCTCCTTATTCTATGCTGAACACTTGACTACAGTCCCTCCCACATTTTCATTCCTAGAGAAATTTTGGCTTCCATAGTAAATCAAGATGAAATATTTTTGATACCATTATTACCTGTGCTTCAGAATAATGTTAATATTTAAGAGTAATTATAATTCTGATTAAAATGCCTAAGGTCACCCTAAAGTTCTTAAAGCTCTTGTCACATTTTCATACTCATTCTTGAGGGCTTTTTATTAAATAAGTCAATATTACTTATTATGTCAACATTAATAAAATAAAACTTAAAAAATTTGAAAGTAATGATACACATATAATATGATGAAAATAAACTTTGTGTTAAGTAGTAATTCTATAGATAATTTGAAATGATTCACAGTCACCCTTGAATGTGTAACTTTCCTAGCAGCTGACCTAAAGAATATTTTGTGGTTCGCCATCTCATTTTTTTGTTTAATTTTTTTTAGTGTATTGAGGTACTACTGAAAATAAAATTGTAAGTTCATTAAAATGTACATTGTGGTGATTTGATACATGTATATACTGTGAAAGAATTCTTCCATCTAGTTATTTAATACATTCATCACCTCATACACTTTCTTTCTAGTGAGAACGTCTATTTCCTACTCTCTTAAATTTCAGTTTATACGATACAGTATTATCAACTATCAGACCTTACTCAACTGCTAGCTAAAAGTTTGCACCTTATACCAACTCGTATTTCTCTTACCTCCCAGCCCCAAGCAACAACTTTTCTATGAGTTTGACTTTTTAAAAAGGATTCCACATGTAAGTGAAACCACGCAGTATTTGACATTCTCTGTCTAGTTTATTTTACTTAGCATAATGCCCTTAAGGTTCATCTATGCTGTCACAATGGCATGAGTTTCTCCTTTTTCGTGGCTAAATAACATTCCATTGTATACATTCACCACATTTTCTTTATTTGATCACCTGTTTGTGGACACTTAGGTTGTTTCCATATCTTGGCTATTGTAAATAATACTGCAATGAACACAGAAGTATAGCTATCTCTCCAAGATAATGCTTTTGATTACTTTAAATATACAGCCAGAAGTGAGATTGTGGAATCAAATGATAATTCTATTTTTAATTGCATGAGAAATTATCATACTAACTATACCAGTTTACATTCCTAGGAACAATGCACGAGAGTTTTCTCCACGTGCTTGCTGGCATTTGTTATCTCTTTCTTTTTGATGCTGGACATTCTAACAGGTGTGAGGTAATATTTTGTTGTGATTCTCATGTTCATTTCCTCGATGACTAGTGATGTTGAATATGTTTTTCATTTACCTGTTGGCCATTGTTTTATTTAATCTTTATTGTATTTTTTCCATTACAATTTAGTCCCCTTATACATCCTCCAACAAACAATCACCACACTGTTGTCCATGTCCCTGAGTCCTTTTTCCTCAATCCCTCTCCCCCTAACTACCACCCCCCACCCAAACTTTCATCTGCTCTCCATCAATGAGTCTGTCTCTGTTTTGTTTGTTAGTTCAGTTTGCTCATTAGATTCCACATATGAGTGAAATCGCATGGTATTTGTCTTTCTCTGGCTGGCTTATTTCATTACCATAACATTCTCCAGGCCCATGCATACTGTCACAAAGGGTAAAATTTTCTTCTCTTTTTTTATGGCCGAGTACTATTCCATTGTGTAAATGTTCCATAGTTTTTTTATCCACTCATCCTCTGACAGACACTTGGGCTGTTCCCTTATCTTGGTGAGTGTAAATAATGCTGTGAAGAACATAGGGGTGCTTACATCCTTTCAAATTAGTGTTTTGGGTTCCTTCGGATATATCCCTAGAAGTGAGATCACTAGGTCAAAAGGCAGATCCATTTTTAGTCTACAGCCATACCACCCTGAACGCGTCCGATCTCATCAGATCCATTTTTAATTTGTTGAGGTATCTCCATACTCCTTTCCACAGTGGCTACACCAATCTGCATTTCCACCAACAGTGCACTAAAGTTCCTTTTACTCCATATACCTTCACCAGCACTGTAATCTGTTGCCGTATAAACAATAGCCATTCTGACAGGTATGAGGTTATATCTCATTGTGGTTTTAATTTGCATTTTTCTGACGATTAGTGACATTGAACATCTTTTCATATGTCTACTGCTCCTCTGTTATGTCCTCTTGGAGAAGTGTCTGCTCAGGTCTTTTGTCCATTTTTTAATTTAGTTGTTTGTTTGTTTGGTATTGAGTTTTGTAAGTTCTTTATAAATTTTTAATATTAATCACCAGATATTGGTGAATATGTTCTCCCATTCTGTGGGTTGTCTTTTTACTTTGTTGATGATTTCCTTTGCTGTGCAAAAACTTCTTAGTTTGATGTAGTCCCATTTGTTTATTTTTTCTTTTGTTTCCCTTGCCTGGAGAGATATTTCTGATAAAAAAACATTGCTACAGGCAATGTCCGAGATTTTGCTGCTTATGTTTTCTTCCAGGATTTTTATGGATTTGGGTCTACCATTTAAGTCTTTAATATATTTTCGATTTGTTCTTGTGTGTGATGTAAGAAAGTGGTCTAGTTTCATTTTTCTGCATATATCTGTCCAGTTTTCCCAACTCCATCTACTGAATAAACTATCATTAGCCCATTGTGTGTACTTCCTTCCTCTGTTGAATATTCACTGACTATAAAGGTGTGGGTTTATTTCTAGGTTCTCTGTTCCATTGATCTGTATGTCTGTTTTTGTGCCAGTACCATGCTGTTTTGATTACTATGGCCCTATAGTACAGTTTGATATTAGGTAGGGTGATTCCTCCAACTTTGTTCTTCTCAAGACCAAAAAGAAATGATGTTGCTATGTGGGGTCATTTGAGTTCTATATAAATTTTTGAAATATTTGTTCTAGTTCTGTGAACTACATCATCGGAAACTTGTTAGGAATTATTTTCAATCTATAGATTACTTTTGGCAGTATAGATATTTTAATGATGTTAATTCTTCCTATCCATGAACACAGTATGTGCTTCCACTTATTTGTATCTTCTTTAACTTCTTTCTTTGGTTTCTTATAGTTTTCTGAATACAGGTCTTTTACATCCTTGGTTAGATGTATTCCTAGGTATTTCATTCTTTTTGTAGCAATTGTGAAGAGGATTGTTTTCCTAATTTCCCTTTCTGTTAATTCACTACTGGCATATAACAACGTAACAGATTTCTGGATATTAACTTTGTAACCTGCTACTGACCTTTTAAAGTATAAACACCCCAAAATTATCATTAGTATTTGTTTTTCTAAGGAATTCATAAGCACCTATTCACAAGAGCATGTTATCAATCACACTGTTATGCAACCTAGATGAAAAAAGCCATGTTAGGCTGAGCACCCCAGACTATGCATTATCAAAAGCAGGTCTATAGTACCGTAGGGCCTTCTTACCTTAAAAGTTGTGGTGCCATACAGCTTGGTAGTATGGACTGTCTCTGGAAGCACATTAGTGATATTGGTGATGAATTCTTCCAAGTATTTACAGGATTTCTCCAAGTGTGTTGTGTTAATAATAATCTGGACAAGCTGGAAAATAACAAGCACATGTAAGAGTCATTTTACTCCTAACCCCAGGACAAATGGCTTGATATGAATTTTCTGGTTAAAAAAAAAAAGGTATGATGGCAGAAGGCATCTGTATTCTACAAAGGGTATTTTAAAGCATGAGTATTATTACTTCATCTATGAAGCCCTCTCTGACTACCCAAAGTATCCTGTATTTCCCCTACTATATACAAGGTCTCTCCGGGAAAAGTCCAGCCATTGTTAATATGACAAGAACAGTTTGTGCAACATCAATGTAACCTAGCAGCCAAGGAGAGTGGACTGGAATGCACATGTGTGAACAATGATGACTTCACTATACTAGTCATGGGGGCAGTAGACACCATAGCACATGTACTATGTGGCCATTGCATTCAAAATGACTGAGTTGAGCAAAGAAACTGGATCAAATTTTGTGTTAAAGCTTGAACATTCCTCTACAGAAACTATCTGGATGATTCAGAAGGCTCCTGGGGACAATGCACTGAGTGCTGCACAAATAAAGTGTGGCACAAACACTTCTAAGATGGTTGAGAATCTGTTGAAAGTGATCCACATTCTGGAAAGCCTGCAGTAAGCAGAATGTCTAAGAATGTTAAACGTATCCAGGCTGTAAGGAACATCATGCTGCAGTTCAGCATAATGACTTGATTCAGACCCCTACCAATGAATCAGATTTCCTCAAAGAGAACATAACTGGAGATGAATCATGAGTCTATGGCTATGATCCAGAAATGAAGGCCCAGTCATCCCAATGCAAATTGTCTGGTTCTCCACACCTGAAGAAGGTGCAGCAAAATCAAGACCATGTTAACTGTGTTTTTTGATCAGGAAGGTGTTGTCCATCACAAGTACACCCCTCCCGACCAAACAATTAATAAGGAATACTACTACAATGTCCTTTGTCAGTTGAGAGAGGCAATACAATAAAAACTGGTGCAGCTATGGGCAACTGGTGATTAGCAGCTTCATCACAACAACATGCCTGCTCATGCATCACTTTTCATGCAGAGTTTTTAGCAAAACATCAAATCAGGCAGGTTACTCAGCCCCTCCTACAGCCCAGATCTGGCAATCTGCGACTTTTGGCTCTTTCCAAAACAAAAATCACCTTTGAAAGGAAAGAGATTTCGGACTGTCAATGAGATTCAGGAAAATACAACAGAGCAGCTGATGGCGATTCCAACAAAGGATTCTGTAGTGTTTTAAACAGTGGAAGAGATGTTAGGAGAACGATGTGAGGTACTAAGGTGCCTGCTTTGAAGGCGACTGAAGTGTCATTGTCCTATGTACAGTGTTTCTTGTATCCTGTATCTTTTTCAATAAATGTCTAATTTTCATAGCACGTGGCTGGATGCTTTCTGGACACACCATGTAGGAGTTCTTGCCATTCTATTTTAAACATGTTTTCTTCTGTTTAAAAAGGACTAGACTAGGGGAAACAAAACTAACAGTGTTTAGCATAATGCCTTGCCATCAAATAAACTCTCACTAAAAGAACAAGAATAATTGAAATGGAAAGAAAAGGTTTCAAAATTAGGCCTAATGAACAGAGAGGTGTTAGAATGGACTGCAGTAAATTAAGCTGCATGTGTCTATGGAAGAAAACACATGGGCATTGAAGGCAGAGAAACCAGGGAGTTAACTATTTACAAAGCGTTGATCTTGAGAACATTTCTTAACTTCTCTAAGCCTGTGTCTTTATCTGTAAAATGTTAATAATAACTTCTAACTCAGAGTTATTGTAAAAATTAAATATCTTCAGTTAATACTACTTCTTTTTTCTTACAGAAAAGATCCTTAAAGAAGGCAGTATGTATAAGAACAAAGTCATCTATAAATTACTTTGAGAGGTGAATGAGGAAGAATAACTATTATTATCTATACAGAATTAAAGTTTGTAAAGCACTTCACAACTCGTTTTCTTACACTGTCTTGCTAACAACCTGAAGAAAAAAATTAAGTGGGAATAATTATTACTTCCATTTTTCTATAACAAAAACAAAAATAAAACTATTTTCTTTAGATCACATACCTAAATGAAACTAGTACTCAAATCCAGTATCTACCTTCAATTATGAACTCATGCAAATGACTTCAGACAGAGCCTTTCGGCCGAGTAAGAGTGGCAGCCCTGGCACACTGTAGGGTGAGCACAGTGGGCTCGAGGGGATCCTGGGTCTCCCGTAAACTGGAACCTCCACGCTTTGATTCTACTCCATGTGAAAAATTAAATACAAAGGAGCAGTACCTACTACATATTTCAACTATGGAAACTCTTCACATTCCCCAGAGTCTAAAAGAAGCACAAGAGAAAATGGAATGGAACCATTGTTTTTTTTTCTCTCTCTTTTACTTCTTTAATGTTTCATTTTTGTAAGACTATTTTCCGGTGGTAGGGTTCTGGAAAGTCAGGGGAGCATTCTCTACCAGAAAATGGATGAACTTGGGTCCTTCTTCCAGTCTAGTGAGAGAGTGAGACTGGGGGAGAGTGGGGAGATGACCAGGGGGAAACCAGAACTAAAAAGATGAAGGGAGGTATAACACATTTTTATATGATATTTCTGTGGAATAGTAAACTAAAATATTAATGGGACTATAATCAGAAAGTCCACTCTTTCTTCCTCAACAGCACTTAGCACACAGTTCTTTCTCACAATTATATGTCAACTCATAATGACTGGACAAGGGAGAAGATACCTTCAACTCCCCTAAGGACCGGCCAGAAGATCTGAGGAAAATAGCTCTGTTCAACATGATGATGGATCAAAGACCCAGAGATGCAAGTCCGACAAAGATGAAAAGTCAGGGACACTGAGACTAGATCTCTTTATTTTTCCTGACAACTCATCAGACAAGTTCACATTCATCACTAGGCCCTTTCCACTCATTCTACAGCTTGAATTTGGAGACTTGAGTTTCAGATGTAGATACTATCTCCTACAAAATTATGTAAAACGTCAGCCTTTTAGCTTTAGAGTGCTCTAGAAAAAACATACACCAAAATAAGCAATTTGACATCCTTTCCTTTCAACGTGTTTCTCCATCAGAGGAAGACTAAAATCATTTTAAAATGTTGGATTGCCTAAACTAAATCACTCTTCCTCCTGAGTGGGAAAGGGGCTACCGGCAAGGTTGTCTTGATGCAGAAGTCAGAAAAGTAAGAGAGTTAATTTGGAACACTGAAGAATTTCTATTTTAAAATTAGCATTACTTATTGGGAACACATTCTATCTATCATAAAAATCCTAATAATAAGGAGAAATTGTGTTATTGAAATAAAAAACAGTGGCAGTCAAAGAGAAAATTGTCCTGTTTTGCAGGATATTGGCAGTTAAAAAAAAAAAAAAGGAGGCGGCTTCACTGGGTACAGTAGTAATTTCCCATGACTTTTTAAAGATCTGTCAACACAAAAGATCACCATGAATTACATCAGTTGGCTGTCAGTCACTTCTGAAATGTTTCATTGCTGAGCATAGAATAGACTATTAAAACACTCTAGGATTACAGTAGATACCATGTCATTTTCAAAGGGAATATTGTCTGTTAATGAGGTCTAAGTGATCTCTTCTCCTGAATGACAGCTAACCAAAATCCTTACAAGGGCATTTACAAATGTGAAGCCAGATGCTTTGGGGGTAATTTTAAAAGTAAGGATGAAATAAAGCAATTTCAGATATCAACTTCCATCAGAGTTTGAGCTCCTTCGATATTTTTAACCCCTACTTCCCACTCTATTACAAAAATAAATCACTGCAGCAATCTAAACTGTCCTTACCATTGTTTCAAGGACATGGAACTAACAACAGATCAGATATTAACTATGTCTTACATGAAGTAAAGTTCTATGAGAATTATCAAAAAAAGGAGAAAACACTATAGAGCAAACAATCACCTCTCGCAGCTAAATAACCAAAGTCGCTTTGGCTAAAAATCATTAAGGAGCAGAACACTTTTCTGTCTCTCCCAGTACTGCAGAGAATCGAATGAGCAAGGGCACAGAGCCGACCCAGGGAGTCACTTTTCCAGCCCCAGTGAAACACCCCAGCGGAGCCGGAGCAATGATGACGGAGAAATGTTCAGATTCTTGACAGTCCAGGAAAGAAAATGTCTTCATCATCTTCTACAGTTCAAAAGTAAGCCCTAAATTCTAGGAACAAATTTCCATCCCCAACTATAAACTACTTCTGGGGTATTTATATCTTACTTATATCAGAACTGATGGTGTGTCATTTCCCGAAGCAGAGAATTTAATTTAATTTAGTACACTGAATCTCTCCAAATGGACTAACCCAAAGCCAGTAAATAAGAAGTCACACTCCTCTCCATAATGCTTCTCAACTGTTACATTTGCAAGAAGATAAAGAACTAAATCGCTGCCATGCTCTCACTCACAAAAACAAGATCCCTATGACTTCATGAAATTTTTACCTCCATATCATCCCTGCAAGGTACAAAAAGGCGTGTTAACTGCAGATTTTATGCCGTCTCCAAGCAAAACATCTAAAGTACTAAAATATTTGAAACTACTGGTTTCAAATTCAAAGGTTAGCACAATGCTTATATCTGACAAAACTTTAGTATAAAATGGTCTAACAGAATACTGGCTAGATATCATTGCCATTTAATGACAGGGAACGGGGACACATGGTGTGTGGGTGACAAATAACGCAGGCTAGAGCCCTGTGGTCATCAACCTAAAGCACATTAAAAACACAGGGTGAATGCAAAGCACCGGTCACTTATTCAGGTTTCCCGGGACACTATTATAATCATAAAAATGTAAATATTCATAGTTCACTGGTAGGAAATATGAATTTCTCTAATTTAACCTTGAGAACCTACCTGTGTACCTACTTTCTTTTTTTTTCTTCTCTCTTTCATGAATTAAAAACCATGTGCCAAGGATCTGGAACACAGCTGTACAAATTCATACACAAAAGAGACGAAGTCCCTGACCACACGGACACTGCAGGAAACAC